ACACACACACACACACACACACACACACACACACACACAGCTGAACTGTAGATAATACTTTTGCAGCAGTTGAGTCATAATAATAATCCTCTTTAAACCAAATCTACTGAACTCCACATTTTGACGGCTCAGTCCATTTACAACAAGGCACAGAGATAACGCCATTGTTTGGCCTTACATTAGCCCCGGTGAATAAACATGATGAGTGCACAAAAAATCCTCCTCCTAGCTACGAAACCCAAATATGATTAGGGCAACCAGCAGATAACTGTGCCAGGGAAGAAAACAATAGCAAAACTGAAGGCTGTCGGGATCAGTTGGGATAGCAGAGCAAAAAGGAAGCCATGTGAGCCAGTTTCACATGGGACTGGACCATTTATCTCCTCCACCTCCCCCCTCTTCTTCCCACTGTACACCCAGCACCACCCCTTCCTCATTCGGCCTTGGACTGGCAGGAGTCCCAATGCTTCCAGAGTTTGTTGGAGAGCAACAGAGGCAGGACAAAGTCCACTTAACTGGGACCCCAAAACACACAGTCTGCTTGTAGAGCAAACATGCATGCAAGACACACCCAGTCCAGTTAACTAACATACACACATGTTGCCCTTGTACACACAAACAATCCCACTACAGCAATCTCCCACTCTCTCTGTTATTCCCCTCCTTGAATGTCCAGTGATAACTGTATGCTATGTCAAGTACAGTAAACCAAAGGGCTGCTTAGGCTCAGTACCCTGACACCTTATCCACACTGAGCCATGACAACAAGGCCAAACATCGGCAATACACGATTCTACATTTTAGTTTTAAAATGCATCACTGTTGCTATGATTACGCCTGCTGTCCACATTACGCGGAATTTTCAAGAAACGCTGCTGGCCCCGTTCTAGTTTGAAACTCCACTCTGCGTTGCAGTATAGACGGGCAAATTTGAAGACGTTAGAAACTATGAAGCAGTCACACACATTGCACAAATTGTTCCTAGTATTTTGTGTAAATTCCTGTTTAAACCAACAAGCACATGATGAGTTAGGGTAAGAGGGGAGGAATAATTTATGGGGGGGTGATGATGGGTGTCACTGGGGGAAGCAAGAAGGAACATGGCCGGGTGTGTGTAAGAAAAAACAATGGAAAGAAAATGGAGAGGGGGGGGGGGCAAAGTTCAGCAGCAGATTGGAAGGGGCTGGGCTAGATATGTCGGTACTGGGTGGGGAGTCCCATGTGTGACTCAGATACTGTGTTGTAACTTAAGAGCGTTCTCACACTCGGGTCTGTATCCACCAGCGTGTGGTGTTTGCCTGAATAAACAACTGAATCAGAAAAGAAGTTCCCCTCAGGACTGAGTATGTAGATTACCAGTGTGGGTTGCACTTCTGATTACTTCTGATTATTCATATGTAGAAAACGCTCAGGTTTCAAAACACTGTGAAAGAGAGAAACAGGGGAAGGAGACGGAGTGCACAAAACAAAAAAGTCATCAAGACAAAGTCTGAAAAAGTTTTGGAGTAAGAGGGAGTGCGATTGAGTGCTGTGTGCTTGTCATTCTCTGTGTAAAAGGAGGCTCAAGTGGGACCGCCCAGCACGTCATGCCTGGATACACACACTGGCCCCAAATCTACTCGGGATGAAAAAAAACACAGCAGCAAATGTGTGTTGCAGTCTCTCTTTTATCGCTTCTCCTTCCCTTAGGCGTGCGACGGGCTTGTTTATATCCAGGAAAACACTCGCAGAGAGACATGCAAGCACTGCAATCAACAGCAAATTGATTGTAGTGGACTGGAGCGTCATTATTGTTGGAGACTGGGTTCTGTCAAGCCCAGTTCTGGTGCCCAAGTGGGGACAGGAGGGAGGGAGGGAGGGAGGGCGAGTGGGATGGAGGTCATTAACGCAGACAGAGGAGAGACTGTATCAGTGTGGGACATAACAACAGGCACGAACTGGCACGACCACACTGGCTCCGACAGTGTAGGCAGAGAGACGCTGAGGGGCTCTGGGTTTAAAAGAGTCGAGTGTGACAGCTGCTCTGAAACAGAGGAAAAACTGTGTTTAAAGAGCAAGAATGTGGTGTTTTGAGTGCGAGCAGGAGCAAAACAGTGCAGTGTGTGTGTGTGCATGTATGTGTGTGTAATCTGAGGTCAGGGGACAGGATATGAGCGTTACCCCACCCTGCATTTGCACTGCCAAAATTGTCTCCCAGAGTCTGTCTAGAGAAAGAGGAATGTGCTGATTGGAGAGCACCATACTAACAGAGAGGGCCAACTGGCCAGGACAAGCTTGCTCACTGGCCAAAACCCCCGAGGTGCAGGAAGTGAATGTATGTGAGTTTGTGTGTGAGTGTGTGTGTGTGAGTTAGTGTATGTGTGTGTGTGTGTGTGTGTGTATATACACAGCTGGTGCAGGTTAAAGGGGGCTTCAGTACACAGAGGAATTAATGCTGAGTGAGCCCTGAGCAAGAGTGGCATTACAGGGCCTGCTCTGTCAGATGTGTGTCAGTGTGTCAAACCAAGTGCGTATTGTGTTTCTTTTTGTCCAGGACCTGTTCAACATACTGTGGTAGAGCCAGTATGTTCATTTTAATCCTCCCTCCTGTCACCAGTGTGTGTCAGAGCACAATGAAGATGGCAGTGACTACCTGACTGTTCCTTTAAAACAGGTGCAGTTGACCTCTGACCTGAGGACAGGTCAGACAGAGGCCTGACCCTCTCACAGATGCCTGCACAGGGTCACAGAGGGGATAAAAACACACACACAAGCAACAGTCCAGGTTACATAAATAATTACAGCGCATTCAGACATGAGGGGATTTTGCAGTAGACGTCATGTCTTCAGGCATTAATGACCCGTTTTAATCAGCTCTGGCATTTCCTGGTCTGATCTGGCACATTAGAGCCTTTTGTGATTGTGCAGCTCATCTGTGAAAAACTGAAAACTTTGCCTCAAGTACAGCATTCATGCAATGTTCAGTTGGAAGAAGAGGGGAACTTTAATGTGTTCTGGTTTAGGGGTCTTCAAACCTTTTTCAACTAGAAGGGCGCTCAGAGTGCATACTTCTGCTAAGACCCAACAGTCCCCATATTAAACAACATTTAAATGAACTAGATCCAGATTTTGATTTTTATGCCACATTTTACTTGGATCTGGATCAAAATGCACACACTCATATATCAGAAATTCACAATATCCCTGACTTGGAATAACAACTACGAGGCTTATGTGAATGACTGCTCATTACACTCAACCCATATTGTGTGAATGTTGCATTGTTCATCAACTGCTTGGAGATGAATAGAACTGACGCCTCCAGCACCAACTGATGTCCAGCACGGCAGATCTAAATCAGTGGCTTCATCAGAATCAGAATCAGAAGTACTTTATTAATCCCCGTAGGGAAATTAAAATGTTACAGAGCCCCTGAGAAAGAGGTGAAACAGCAAAAGCAGGTATAAAGATAGCAATATAAAATATAAAAATCAACTAAGGCTAAAGAAATAAAGATATACATATGTAGAAGTAAAGACCGGGTATTTATAGATTTACATTTGTGCATGAGTAAAGTAAGTTAAGGGTAAAGTTAAAGTATACACAGTATACATTATTAATCTTTATACTTTACAGGTTGTCACTGAACACCAGAATCACATCTCATGCCCCCATGGCCCCTGTTGTCATTACATCACACTGAAATCACACTGAAATCTTTATGGGAGGTGACTCTGAAGTTGTTTTCTGCTGCATCCGTCAACTACATTCTCACTACATTCAGATTATAGCACATGTTGTCTTCAGCAAGAAAAGCAAAAGCTGTTTTTAAGTGAAATTACTTAAAATGTAAAACAAAAAAGAATCTCTCGTTATAAGAGTAATCTTCAAACTCTCTGTAGCTGAAACGCTTTTTGTTTCTTACTATCAACAATGGACTGCGGCTTTCTCAAACAAACCGTAGGAGAAAACCAAATCCCACTTCAGTGGTGAATAAATGATGAGTAATGAATACTGGTATAAAGCGGAAGTACAGTCACTGAGCCCTGGGAAGGAAAAACTGAGATTATGGTTATAAGGGAACACACCCACACACAAACACAGCACAAACAAACTGGCATGAATCTTTTACCATTGATTTAGCAGAGAGTTCAATGAATACTGGATTTAGAAGAGGACTTGAAAGAATCTTTGTCAGTTTTTGTAGTCGTTTAATTCCAGCTGCCACTATCAGCAAATGACGGGTAAAAGTCTCAGATATTAACATAAAACTTCTACAACACAGTCGATGTGCTCCCCAGTCCATTCTTTCAATGAGAGCAACCTTTGCTACAAACGTTTACACTGTGATGTCCCTGTTTGTTTGGTGGATTTTTGAAAACGCTACTCTGCATGAGCAGCTCAGTGAAGCACATTTCAGTGCTAAAGTTTTCCATCGGACTTGTAGTCAGAGTTCATTTTCTCAAATGAGAAACAGTGTGACAGTGCCTCGAGTTATTTTTTAAGTATGCACTGTGGGTCACCGATGAATATTGCAGAGTATGAATGTTTCATTCTGCAATCCAGGAA